CATTTCTAGTTGGTTGGTTTTCAGTGTTTCTTTATCTTTACACATGGTGCTGATGTCCTTACTCATGCTGTTGAGCTTCCTCAGGATCATGGCTCTCAACTCTACCTCTTATAATTTGCTTAACTGCATTTCATTTATCTCATCTGTAATAGAGTTCTCTTGTTTTTTCATTTGGGATTTATTTCCTTGTTTCAGCATTTTGGCTATCTCAATGTGTTTTAAGGCCTGCCAAATTTTTCCTGTGGATATTGGTGTTCTGCTGTTTGTGGCTCCCTCCACTGGGTTTGGATGAGCCGGGGTGGCCCCACATTAAACACCGCTGTCAAGTCTTACTTTCCTGGGTAGATTTGGAAGTTCAGGGAAGGTTCAGTTATCCCCTAGCTTTTTCTTGTTTGCTAGTAGTCTCAGTTACTCAGTGTCTTCGACTGTAACCCTGGTGTTCTGCATAAGAGGATTTCCAGAGGGAGGGATAGATGCTGGTTAATGAGCCTCAATTTTTATTTTTTTTGCCTCACCTGGGAAAGCTGAATCCCCAATACAGGGGGCTGCTGCTTTTCCCCACAGCTCTGGGAAGGAGCACACTAGCCACCATCCTTTGTGGCCGCAACTCAGCAAAAACTCTGAGTGCCCTCCAAGTCCTGGGTGTCCCCACAGAGTTCCAGCCCAGTCTGCCCTCCCTGGCCACAGCCCCCAGGTGAATGGCTGTGGCTATTTTAGCGCTCTGTCCAGGCTCTCTGTGCTGTAGAGCAGGCTTGGTCTTTATTCCCCAAGGCTGCTGCTCACAGCTAAGATTGCTGCTGTTGGTGGGCTCCCAGCCCGCCACCCTCTCGTGCCTCCACATATGCTACTAGTGTCTCTGGTTATATGGTCCTGTTTTTCTGCTTTACTGTTGCTTTTTTTCCCAAGGATTTGTCTTTATTATAGTTGTAATTCCTGCTTGTTCCTGGGATTGTCTGTGTAGCTTCCATTCACTCTGCCTCCATTTTCACCTCCTGTATGCCTATCTTGTTGTGCTCAGCTGGGTTGCACAGGCCTCTCTGGTGCCCCCGCACCCTGCAAGTCCCATGGGCAGGCAGCTGTATCACACCAGTCCCTCTGGGGCTTTGGCTTCCCACTACTGTTGTGAGCTGCTTGACCGCACAGGCCTCTGTGGAGCCCCAGGTCCCACTGCTGGTGGCTGGGGAGTGCTGCTTCCCCGTGGGGCTCAACTCCTGCTCAGCTTTTGCTTTCCTTATGTTATTTCTCTTATAATTCTTCCATTTTCATATTTCTCTTTAAGGACTATATATCTGTTGGTCCTCTGGATTGAATCTCTGTGTTTCTAATACATCCTTTACTATTTTCATCAACTTTATTTTCCTGCTGACCAATTGAGTTTCTTATTTCAGGTATATTTTTAATTTCTAAGAGCTCTTTCTTTTTCTCTGAGTATCTTTTTATTTTATTTCTTTATTTTTACATTTGTTAGTATTTTTGGACGTAAGATAGGTTTTATTTTGGGGAAATGTTAAATATATTTTTAGTTTATTTTGCTCCCAGAATTGTCTCTATTTCTTCAAAATTTCTCTTTGGGTCTGTTTTTTACATTAGTAGCTCCCCCTCCCCAAATATTTGAAGATATTGTGTTGTACAATCATTTTAAGAATGAGAAATAGGAAAGCTGACTGGCTCTGGCCTGGTAGTTTGCTTGGTTGGAGAATTGTCCTGTGTTTGATTCCCAATCAGGGCACATACCTAGGTTGAGGGTTCGATCCATGGTCCAGGTGCATATGGGAGGCAACCGACTGGTGTTTCTCTCTCACAATGTTTTTTTTCCTCTGTCTCTCTCCCTTCCTCTCTCTAAAAAGAAAATCAATAAAAACATATCCTCAGCTTAGCCGGTGTAGCTCAGTGTTGAGTGTTGACCCATAAACGAAGAAGTCACCAGTTCAATTCCTGGTCAGAGAATATGCCTGGGTTGCGGGCTCAATCTCCAAGAGGGGGCATGCAGGAGGCAGCCAATTGATGTTTCTCTCTCCTCAATGTTTCTGTGTCTCTCTCCCTCTCACTTTCTCTCTCTCTCTAAAAAACAAACAAACAAAACAAAACGTATCCTCAGGTAAGGATTAAAAAGAAAGATGACGCCCTGGCCAGTTTGGCTCAGCGGTTAGAGCGTCGGCCTGCGATCCGGAGAGACCCGGGTTCGGTTCCCGCTAAGGGCATGTACCTCGGTTGCAGTTTGTCCCCGGCCCTGGTTGGTCGTGCGGGTGGCAGCCACTCGATGTGTCCCTTCACGTCGATGTTTCTCTCTCTCTCTCTCTTCCTCTCTCTCCCTCCCACTCTATCTGCACAAAAAGTGGAAAAGTGTCCTCGGGAGAGGATTAAAAAAAAAAAAAAAGAAAGATGACTAGAAGCTACGTGTGCATGGGCAGAGTTTGTCAATTGATGACTTTCACTGCCTGAAAGTGGGGTGGATTCTAGATAGTTCATGTTATGTATTAATTGGAATGAGATTTTGTTGAATATAATAGAAAAAACAAAAATAACAGAAGATTAAACAGTAAAAATTTATTTTTTCTCTCAGGTCGGAGAAGCTCATTTGGGTGGTCCAGGGCCTGTATGAGAACTCCCCACTCTGAGGGATGTAGTCCACACCTTGCAGCACCCACTGCTCTTCTAGTGCAATGCTTCATCATGGTCCAGGTGGCTTCTAGCCTGGCAAATGCATCTGCATTACAGGCAGCAGGAATGGGAAGGCAGAAAAAATTAGTTCCTTTTCTCTTTCCAGAAGCCCATGCAATATTCTACTTTCACATTTTGGCAAGAAATTAAACACTTGGCCACATGAGCTGTAAGTGAGGCTGTGGACTGTTGTCTTCTAGCTGGATGTATTGCTACTGCACATAAAATTGGGGTCTTACTGCAGCAATGAAAGGAAGCCGTGTTCATGTAGGCAACTAGCAGTGTCTGCCACATTGAGATTTCTATAGTGTGTCTACAAATCTCTTTTTCTTAGGCTGGTAAGTTTCACCAATTTCCCACCATTTTAATCTTCCAACAACAAAGATGGAGGAGAGGCCTCTGGTGCCCTCTGTCACATCCCCTAGGAACACGGCTGATGTGGTTGCAGTGGCAGAGGATGGGTTTGTGTAACTCACCTAGCTCTGCCAAAGTCCAGCCTAAAGCACATACTGGATGTTCTTCTGCTTTCTGCCCAGAGCACTGAGATGCCATAGAGCCTGGCAGGTCAATGCCTTGGAGCCACGCAGTGGGGAACGGAATGGAAGGATGAGTGTGCTGGCCTACTCTCCACTGGAGATTTGAACAACTGATTGGTGTTCTGTAGGCTTCTCAGGTGGTCTGGATGAAACCAAACCTGTAGCAGTTACCAGTTGCCCACAGCAAACCTGATACACTCTCCTATTGGCTTTTGCTCCTTCTCTGCTTTAGTCTTCTTGCTACCTCTCTCTTGCTTCCTGGGACCATGTCCTGAACAAATAACTGCACCAAGGTCTTAGGCTTTGCTTTAAAAAAAACTACAATAAAAATTATCTTATCATTTAAATTCTAAGCTTCAATTCTCACATCGCTTGTACTCACATAAAACGTCGGTGTAACAGCCAGAAAATACCATACGTTGTCGAGAAAAGAACCAAAAAAAAGAATTTTTTGAATTCTTTCTTATACTTCATGTTTTTATTCACTTCCTATGACTATGAAATATGGTTAAAGAAATATATGGCCCTGGTTGGTTTGGCTCAGCAGTTAGAGCGCCGGCCCGCGGACTGGAGAGTCTGGGGTTTGTTCCTGCTAAGGGCATGTACCTTGGTTGCAGTTTGTCACCCCCCTCCCCCCGCCTGGTTGGGGTTGTGTGGGTGGCAACCAGTCAATGTGTCTCTCTCACATTGATGTTTCTCTCTTTCTCTTCCTCCCTCTCTCCCTTCTGCTCTATCTGATAAATACAAAAAAAAGTCCTCAGGTGAGGATAAAACAAACAAACAAAAAAGAAATAATATGCACTCAGTTTTTTTCTAAAAAATGCAAAGATGAGGTTTGGGCTGAGAATCTATCATGACCAGCAGGTGTTCTGAGAAGATGAATCTCCCATCTTCGTATCTGTACAAATGGATATAAGTGTTAGAAAATAGGATAACCTGAAACTGAAAAGCAAAATACCTACTTCATACAGACCATTTTATACTTGTTACATTGATGCTATGAATTGTTTATACATCTTTCTCACTTTCCCTAGCACAGCACCTATAACATGTAGGTCACTGATTAATCCTTGTGGAATAAGTGAACGGATTAGTAAAACTATAGCATATGCTAGTTTGTGTTTTCTCATCTTGTAAAGTAAACTGAGAGCAATGTGATGGCATATTTTAAGAAATATATTTTTGAGAACATTAAACATTTATAAAATATTTCATAACCTGTGAAGCAATATGTAAAATACTAGTATCAGTGTTACAATTCTTCTAAAAATGTTTTAAAATTCTCACTTGAGGATATATTTTTATTAATTTGAGAGAGAGAGAGAGAGAACAATGTAAGAGAGAAATATTGATTGGTTGCCTCCTGTCTGCACCTCGACTGGGGATTGAACCCACAACCTGGGTATGTGCCCTGATGGGGAATCAAACTCACAACCTTTTGGTGCACAGATGATGCTCCAACCAACTGAGCCACACTGGCCAGGGCTCAGTGTTATAATTCTGACAAGAAAATAAATGGCTGCAAATAGTATATAAAAACTTGCTATTTTTATACTCTAGATGAACTATGTGGTGGTATCTAAGAAATTATAGTAGATTACAAGTCAGTCATTTAACATAAAATATTTATTTTGAATTCATTTAATAGATAATTTTAAAAATCAGAATAAACTGCTAAATTATACTAAATAATAATTACCTATGGGATTTAAAGATGTTAATAGAAAAAGAAAATAGGATGTGCTAGAGATAAATATATTTTACAATTCACATATTTATTGTGTAATAAGGTACATAACATTCATCAACTGCAAATATGACATGCTGTTGAGGTCTGGACTAGACATTACAGTCTTACAAGTCTTAAAGTTCTTAACAGAAAAGAGCCATTAGCAAATTCATGCATCTAAGCTAAATTTATTGAGATTTATTGCATTTTGTGCCCAAGAAACCCCAGTTATGCATAGAGGGTGTCCTCCTGAGTATCCCAGGAAAAAAGGAAATAAAGAAATACAATCTCCCTGAGCCCACTTGCTTCAACTCTAGAAGGAGAAAGTGAGGAGGAAGCAGGAGATAAAATGATACCTCTCCTTTTTTGCTGCCACCTGCCACACCCCCAAAGATGCCAATAGTCCTTTCTGGGGGTTCAAATTTGTCATTCTGGGTTGACTCATTTTCTTAAGTGCAGATATACTGTATGAGCTTTCTAAGGCTGCCATAACAAAGTACCAAAACTTGGTAGCTTAAAACAACAGAAGTTTATTCTATCATAGTTCTGCAGGCTAGAGGTCTAAAATCAAGGTGTCGGAAAGGTCATGTTCTTCTCTCTGACCTTTCTAGGGAGGCTCTAGGGAGGATCCTACCCTGCCTCTTTCTAACTTCTGGTGGTTTCTGGAAGTCCTTGGCATGTAGATGCATCGCTCCAATCTCATCTTTATCTTCACATGGCCTTCGCCTGTCTCTCCTCCTCCTCTCATAAAGACACCTAGTCCAGTATAAACTCATCTTAACTAATTACATCTGCAAAGACTCTAGTTCCAAATAAGGTGCATTCATAGATACCTGTTTGGACTTAAACATGTCTTTGGGGGGACACAATTCAATCCACATGTATCAACAATATTTCTTTTCAAGAGTGGAAAATAGCACATTTTCAACAGAAGCAAGGGGTACTGTCTAAGCTGTTCATAATCTTTCCAACCAAAACCCAGTGCAAAATTGCACATAACATTATATTAAGACATGTTTAAAGAGACTTAGGAATATATAAGCTTTTAAAAGTCAGATAAGCAAATAATGAAATAGTGAAATTGGGGTGACAAAGAGGACTTAATCTCCTTTTCTTGTGATGGGTTCACTAACCTGAGATGGAATATAAAATAACTAAGTCAGACTCTGCAAACTGTGGACTACACCAAATGTATTTTCACTGAGGACAGGTTCAGTGAATACAGTAATAGCACACAGTGTTATTTACTCTTGAGAAAAGTATAAATAGGACACATGTTATGGATATGCAAATTAGACTTCCCTTTCAGATTCAGAAAATGGATACAAACACATTTGATTTTGCTTCTGCTTTATCTACAATTAAGCCATCTATTGCTTCTGTCAACTCTAGTGACTCTACGATCATTAAGATTAAATGCATAATATCTTGGTCCACTGAAGAAAAGGAAGTAGTCTAAAAAAAAAAAAGAGAGAGAGAGAATGTATTGAATTAGCGTGCAGACATAAGATCTCTGTTTTCAATTAAGACCCTACTCCCATCCCATGATAACATTCAAATGCAAATGTGCTATTTACAAAATTTAAACAAATTAATTATTATTTTTTTCTACTTACCATCCTGCTGAAAAACTGCATCAACTCTACTTATTATTCCTTGAAAGGTACTTGCTATGCTTTTGGGGTAACCTGGTTCCATGGATTGTCTTTGGTTATCATATCTGATGAGAAAAAAAATGCCCTCTGTTTTAAAACCAATACAATATATAATTATAATGATTTTATTTAAACAGCACATACTTTACAAAGTGCCTTCACATATATTTTTTCATTCAGTCCTCACAATGTCCTATTTACTGGGACTAAAATGGTTAACTTTGTTTTTTTATTTATCTCTGTTTATAAATTATATGGATATTATTACTAAGATGGGCTTTTGACGACTAGTGCAGTGTTATTTTTAAAAAGAAGAGCTATATTTTCTAAGGCTTTTAGTTAACAGCTACATAGTGTCTCTCTCTCGGAATAAATGTGAATCATAAGTCTAATTTGGGCACTGGATTTTGTAGGTTATCTGGATAGCACTTACTTGAGAATGTTAGACTTTGCCTCACAAATGAGAATTAGCCTCTTTTTTTTGCAGCCCATCCTAGTACTTATTAAGGTTTGCTTCGTGTCATGATATAGAATCCTCAATACCATTGTGCAGGCATTTTAATTTTATAAAAATAAAATTTCAAAAGTCACCACAACATCAATTATCTTATGAAAAAGAATGGCTATCAAAGACCACTTAGATTTTTAAAGCCTCCAGATTTGTAGACAGGGTAAATAAACATAAATTTCAATCTCAGGTTGAAAAAATAGTTGACCTTACCTCCAGAACTGGTTGTTCACAAAGAAGTATGTTTTTGTCCTGTAGGAAACAGCTGCATCAATTGCTTGAACACTGCTGGGGAAGCCGTAGTTTGATATATCCTTGGGATAACCTTGCTGAATGTCATAGCCATTTAGAGCCCAGTACCGGTTGCCTGCAAATGTTTAAGGTTATATGTTAGATCATGTTCTTCCTTTCATAAATGATGTGTACCACTTCTTATTCATTGCATACATTTATCATAGAAATGAAAATGTGACAAAGCATCTTTAGAGGATAAAGGTGGTCAAATGAAGCTCATGGGGCTGTGATAGCCCCAGTGGTTTCCTAGCTGCTGTTTAAAAAATTCCAACTTCTCAGCCTGACAATTGGATGTCTTATCTCGTGTGATGTCTATAGAGAGATTAAATTACAGCCTTGAGGAATCTTAGAAAATAATATCTGCGGTGAGGGTGGAGGAACACTAAAGGTTTTTTCTCATTTTGTAGATGAGAACACTGAGGCTGGAAGGGGATATGTCCTGATCAAGTTTACACAGCAGTTAATGGCAGAGATGGGACCAACCCAGGTCTCTAGACAAAGCATGGCCAGCGTAACCCTCTCACTGGCTCATCTTCTCTGAACCTACAGGGACCACAAAAAAGTTATTTTCTCCTCCCTTCAGGCAGAACTAAAATGAAATGAAACCCTAGGCAGTTACCTTTAAATAGGAAAACTAGGTCCCTGTCATATTCCTCATAAGCAGCCTGTATACCACTTGGCAGGGATGGCCAGAACAGAGAAATAAAATTCAAATCGATTCTTCGTAGCTGAGGATGCCTTCTCCAGAAGTATCTAATGGAACACAATGGGAGAACCACACACTCTGTAGTCTAAGTAGGCAGCTCTGTGAGTCTTGGGCTAGTATTGGCCCGTGTACGGTTGCTGGGAGGATATGACAAAATAAAAAGAGCAAAGTTTCTAGTACAGTGACCAGCATACAGCCAGTTTTTGTTGTGATGTTGCCCATCTGGTGAGTACTTTACAGTTTTCAGAGGGGGTCATAAGAGTGATCTAATTTGATTACATTTTACACTGTTTCCTCCTCACACATTGACAAGTCTTATTTTAGTCTCTTTTATTATTGTTCCTATAAAATGATGAGAATATTTAGAATATTCCAGAAAAAGCAGTACAAGTACATGCAGCCTGTGATTATATAACCACAAAACAGCCACTGGAAAAGAGAAAAATTCAATCACCTGGATGATTTGCCCCACAGCTTACGTGATAGTTTCCATTTACTTGATTAGATTTGGCTGAATTGAATAATGCTTTGGCTTTGGGTAAACCTAGCTATGGAGTTCCCAAGCAAGGAGAGCCCATGCCTATTTACATCACCACAAACACCTGAATGCTCATGAATGTTTTAGTTTTCTTTTCCTGAATGTTTTGAGTTACCCAGAAACCACTAGAAATTCCATTGAGAACATATGTGTAGATTTCAGAGAAGCTGAGTAATGTGTAATATGTGACTTAATTAAAACCCAGCTTTAAGTTATGCTAGTAAAAGAGGCCAAAGGAAGAAATAGTTCAATCTTATACTTGTCTTTAAAGAAAATTATTTCTCCACGGAGTGTGGTGATAGCATCAAATGTCAGAGTTGGATCACAGGCTGTGGGTGTGCTTGGTCCCGTTGGTTGGATAGGGTTGTCTGAAGGTCCTGAAAGATAAAAGGCTTTTTGTAAGCATAAGCCCAGTGTGGTTCGTTATTGTATTTCAGCACCTCTCAGGATGATGAAGGGTCTTCACATGAAGAGAAATGCTACCAGAGTACCACACAAGGCATCAAAGTAACTGTACATTTGTCCCTCTTAAAATTTTTTTAAAAATAAGAGTAATGGTTATTTTCAGAGACAGTTTCAGGTTAAATTATGAAGTATGCTCCCCATGCTAAAATCCTAATTTCATCTTTCTCCCCTTTTTGTTTCCTCTTTCTGCATTTTCCCCTATCAATTAATATCCAGTTCCTACTTCCCCTCCAAAATCCACCTCCAGGAAAGGAATTGATATCAGACTTGCACCCCACAGCATAAACCCAAGTCAAATTTTAGCACTATTTTTTCTATAAATATTTGCATTTCAGTGTGTTTTCTCATTGTAGAACAAAGTACTTTTAAAAAATTTAATGAACTGTAGCTTTATTTCTGCTTTATGATTAATATGATAAAATTCACACCTGGCTATTTGGACAAAAACATCTCATGAAGCAAAAGGTTCAGAGTAAGAAACCCTCATTTGCTAAGGTTGAGCTCTTGATAGATTTAAAATATCAATCAATTAATCAGCAATTAATTACTGACAACCTATTATGGCTAGGAATTATGGGATTTGGAGAGGGAGCAGAGGCCTTTTCTAACAGTTAAGAGGATTTAAAACATCGGTGAGCAAAGGAAGCAGTTTTCAGGGGAAAGGAGTTGGGGAGTGAAGGCAGAGTAGATCTTGTAATTCCTAAAACTTCTACTGTGATGAAAAACTTCCTTAGCTGTGGTAACCTGGCATGCTCAGTTTTGCAAAGCTATCCTACAGAAGAGGGCAGAATGCTTCCTCCAGCTCAGCTCCACTCCACTCTCCCTCATCCCACTTCCTTCAACACTCAGCTCTGAATTCTTGTTTTAGTCACAGCCACTAGGGGGCAGGAGGGCAAGAGGGAGAGAGAGGCAATGGTCTTACCAGACAGCACTTTAACAGGGGGAAAATCTTCTGTATTCCTCCTTGAAGTTTAAGTTACCACTTTCAAAAATGTTTCTTTCTGTCCATATCCATTCACATTCTCCTCCTTCCCCCACAAACAACAATCTTAATGTGCTCAATATGTATCTTTTCTTCAGCATATTGAAATGCCTTTCTTTGTCTATGTGAATTTTTTATTTATATAGATTTATATATTGTACAATTTAATTTATACTGTGTATTATGTATCGTTCTGTTTTTTTCCCCCCCATGACATTCAACGTTTAATTCAGTGCTTCTCATTGCTGTACACATTCCCTGGAGTGGATTGAACACATTTTACCTGTGCATTCTCCTTCCAATAGACTCCCCAGTGCCCTCCAACTTCTACCACCACAAACAGGGACTTCAGTGAATGCCTTTGACAAGCCCTGGTCTCACCATGTGCTGCAATGGTCTTCAGATGACCTTACCATAAATGGCCTGAATGCCATTGATGTCATCTTGAGGGAGTGAGTAGGTGCTGGGTTCATTGAAAGCATAGTTGGGATACATCAGGGCACCAGGGTCAGAGGAGTGAGAGAGCCCCAAAGAATGGCCAAATTCATGGGCAGCGACAAGAAACAAGTTGTAATCTGAAATGGAAGCATATGTGGTGAATGGCTCTAAGTGTATCCAAGGGTGGGGGAGATAGGATTTCTAGGAATGCAGCTTCTAAGCCAAAACTGCCAGGAGAAGCAGCCCTTCATGCCTGTTATTTTCTTTTATTCCTTCAGGTACCTGAAGAAATGATTAGAAGGAATCAAGGTAGGAGTTATAGGTTTAGATTAGATGACTATGAGCTTTGCATCACATTTTAGAATAAAAAACACCTCTCTTTATTGTGATGCCCATATTTCATGGATGTGGACTTGAGGCTTAGAGAAATGATGGCTGAGCCATCCCAGGTCTCATGAGTCTCAGACGTCCTCTCCTCTTGTGCACCCACCTGCACCCCTCTCCAGTCCTCGGGCTCATTAACAGGGTTTCAGGCAGTTAGAGAAGAAGCTGCCAGGCAGCAGAGTAGTCTCAGATGCAGAGCTGATTCACTGGTCACCCAGAGCCTACCACCAGCTCTCCAAGCAACTTCCAGAATTCTCCGCCAGAAAAAGACAAACCCTGACTCTTATTGCTCCCTTCCCTCACCTTTTAACTTCACAAGCATAGTGCCTTTCACAACTAGGAACTTAAAAATGTGAGGCTCATAGGTTTTTAGCAAATAAAGCCCAAGTTCCTTTGCCAAATCCAAGACCTCTCTTCATGGCTCCAGCAGACATCTGAGGGCTTGACTTCCAATGGCACCCTTCCCCCCAGCCAGGCCACTGCCATCTCACAGCACACTTTCCATTTTCATACACGCCTACATTGTAAATCATAGTTGCAGAGTACTTTTTTTTTAAAGAATAGATTATTGATTTTTCGAGAGAAAGGACGGGAGAGGGGGAGAGAGAGAAACATTGATGTTAGAATGCAACATCAATCAACTGTCTCAGTCATGTCCCCTACCTACTGGGGATTGAGCCCACAACCAAAAATTGAACTGGCAACCTTCTCGTGCGTGGAAGGATGCCCAACCAACTTAGCCACACTGGCTAGGGCACAGAGTACTTTCTTTATGCTAGGAAGTATAATATTATTTAATCTTCACATTTTTATGAATTTTTTAAAAGATATTTTTACAGTAAGGAATTGAAGTACATGGTCTTTTGAATATCTTGTATTAGTGTTGTAACTAATAAGTAGTAGACCTGGGGTCAAACCCAGTTATAATGGCAAGACTTGTGCTCTTACCACAGTGTTCAACTTCCTGTTGATAAGTAGCCTCATTAAATTCTGCCCATGCTCCAAGACTTGCTTTCTTGACTATTATAGCCTTTCTTTTTCAATTTGCATTTATGAATGCATTACAAAACACACCTTTGAGTGACAGGGACTCTGGGGGATTTATCACAGTGCACAATCTGGAAGGGGAAATGTATGCATATAAGATGGATATATAGAATAATGAGAGCAGTTAAGAGAAGGAGAAACAAAGGCTGTCTGCATTCTCAGGAGGAGGCCTCATTTCTGGCTGAAAGACAAGACAGGAAATGGCATTTGACACAACATGGGAAGAGAGAGATTTTGAAAGGTAGGATTTGGGGTGTGGGGAAAGGCATTTGAGGAAGAGGAAGCAACATAAGCAAATATAGGGAAGTTGGAAAGTACATGGTGTGATCTAGGAACAGTGAATACATCACGTGGCCATTGTATGTGAAATATGAAGAGAAGCCATGAAAGATGAAGCTGGAAAATCACCAAGAACCTTCAATGCCAAGGTATTTGGATATTATTTGGTCCATATAATGTAAGGACTGAAAGTTTTAAGCAGGAGACTACTGAAATTCCAGATGGACTTTTCAAAGACAAACCTTGCTGCAGTGTTGGGAAAGTTAGAGGGAGCAGAGATTGGAGGTGAACAGTTCAGGTGGGAACCTGGATCATTTAATTCAGGTGAAGGGTAATGATCATCTGAAGCAGCACGTTGGGCAGCAGGAATGCATAGTAGTTGAGAGTGCAGTCTCTCTTTGGGTACACACTCCTAGCACAGGGACTCAGGTGGAATAAACACCACCTACATGGTGAGAAGACGGTGGGAGGAGCAAGGCCCACGCAATGGTGAAAGCATCATTTTCTATTATTTTCTAAAGTGTCCTGTGACATGTTATTGCCCATGATCCTGTGAAGTACCATATGGACTGGAAGTACCTGTCCTTGTCCTCAAGTCTTCTCTTTAGCTGTTCCAACTCTTTTTATTCTGAGTCTTCTCCTGAGAAAGGTAGTTTGCTACATAGGAACATGCATTGAAAAAGAGCTCTGTGAAGACAAAATAACTAGACGGAAAAGAAGGTGGCCACTTTTTTATAAGTAGGACAGTTTTCTAAATGAACCCAAATATTTCTGAATTGCCAAAAATAGGATCTTTTACAAACATCATAACATTTCAGAATATTAAGAGAAAGATATACCCTAAAGCAGTGGTCAGCAAACTTTTTCTGTACAAGTCCAGGTAGTGACTATTTTAGGCTCTGTGGCAACGACTCAGCTCTGCCACTGCAGCAGGAAAACAGCCACAGATGATACACGGACAAACAAGCGTGACCCTGTTCCTGGAAAACTATATTTACACACACAGGGCCAGGCAGCATTTAGCCATGATCTGTAGCTTTCTGATTCCTGCTTTAGGAAACAAGATCAGTAATTAGCTTCAGGATTTTTTTTAAATCTAAATTAACTTAGTATCTTGAGGTAGCAAAAATTTAAATGATCAGTTTGTGTGAGTTTGAAGTGTTACAATAACGTGTGTGTGTGTGTGTGTGTGTGTTGGCCATGGTAAATTCTAGTGTGGCAAATATTTATTCGAAAGCCACATGTTGACCTAACCTGGTTAACTTACTTTCAGAGGTTTTAGTCCATGTTTCTTCTGCATCAAAATGAGCATCTCCTCCAATATCTTGGCCTGGCTGAAAGGCATGAGCAAGGATTCCATTGGGTCCATCAAATGGAGAATTGTCACCATGAACTGAAATAAAATAATTTGTATTACATCTTTTCCAACTCTCATGTTAGGCAGAGAAAGCAAAATTGAGCATGACTGTTTCAAGCCCACCTCTTTGGACAAAAGCAATATTGATGTCTACATCATCCTGTGAGGTCTGGGTGAAGCTCAGGGGTGACGCGTCACTCCAGACTTGAAAGGCTTTCTTAATAGCTGCTTCGACATCAGCCTCTGACAGTTGTGGGGTATAGTTAATAATCCTTCAAAGGAAGAAGAGGTGTGAAGGCTCATTATTGTTTAGAACAGCACTCCATCAATAGCTTGAGTCTCTCCATTTTGGACTGAGTTGCATACGTGATGAGCTACTGCTGGAGAGGGTATATGAGGGAGTGCAGAACTCAGCATTGAAGACAGACATGGATTCTGGACAAGGTATTGCATGACTTTAAATCTAGTTTTTTTATTTATAAAATGAGGATAATAAAATAGCACCCCTTCTACAGGGTTGTAGTGAGGAATTAAGTACAAGTAAAGCATTTATTTCACTGCTTGGCAAATAGTAGCATTTAACAAATATTGGATAATATTATTATCATAAGATACATGAAAGGTGTGGTCCGTTTCTCTCCAGCAATGATTAAGCCTTTTTTTTGGATTCTAAAGTGAGTCCTCAGACAGACAGTCTAATATTAACAGTCCTTTTTAGATTACTGGAGAAGGATGTCAACAATGGCACACTTTGGAGTGAAGAGATGTTTACCCCTTCATTCTCAGATTCACTCATTAGCACCTAAACCCTACAAGGGCAGGGATGCTTATTTATTTGTCTCTGGTATATCTCAAGTCCTAGAACAGTGCCTGTCACATTATAAATGCTCAGTAAACACTGGCTGAATGAACACGTTTTGAAGCCCTAGGAGTATCACCTGTAGGTCAGGTCAGTGTGTTTCCACCTGGGGGATCCTGGGGTTAACATAAAATCACCCGTGTCAGGCACTCCACAGCGAGCCTTCTGCATCATCTCCAGAGTTTCCTCATCGGGCTTCCCCGTCACGTTCAACCGGAAGAATCGCTGCATTTCTTTAAGCTTTTCAACAACCACACTGGCGCTGTTCTTTGCAGTCTGATCTCTGACCTTTGGTAATTGGTAGAACTTTTCTAGGTAATTCTGGACAAAGAAAAACCTGTGAGGGAACTTGCTCAGAAATTACCTTCAATTCTCTGGGCATTCCACACTCCTCCTAAGTTACTGCAGACTTTGGAACAGTCTGATAACCTGATGGTCACAGGAACAAAAAACAACTTTGTGGTTTGACTTTGAGAGAACAGTGTCTATTGAAAAGAACAGCCCTCGGTCAGTGCTCCTATTAATGCTTATACAAAAAATAGGTATTTCATAAAGGATGAGGTCCAAGTCCTCATGCAAAATGCTAGACTACAGCCGGGAGGCTGCCTCCTTATTTTTAGTAAAAATAAATAGCACTAGCATTTATTGACTTTTTGAGGTACTAATTGCATCAATGCAGATTCTCTCTTTTGATCCTCTTTTCACTACTATAGAGGGAACTCACTCCTCCTTATTAAGAAGTGGAGGTGCAGAGAAGGAAGAAACCCACCAATATGACAGTTCAGGTCCCAACTCATCATATTGCTTCTCAAATGAGAAGTGGCAATTTCAAAAAGGAAATCCAACTATGTTTGGGGGCAACAGCAGCCTCAATAGCATTTTATCTAGCACAGTAACTCTTTTAAAGGGGCCAACATTCATTGGGAAGTAAAGGTTCTGAGGGGTGGTAAGCCAATCCTAAGACTTCTTTCTTTCTTAAAAAAATATATTTTTTTATTGATTTGATTTGATTTTTTTAGAGAGAGAGGAAGGGAGAGAAAGAGCTAGAAACATCGATGTGGGAGAGAAACATCCATCGGCTGCCTCCTGCATGCCTCCTACTGGGGATCAAGCCCACAACCCAGGCATGTGCCCTGACCAGGAATGGAACAGGGACCTCTCAGTCCATGAGATGACACTTAATCCACTGCATCACACTGGTCAGGCAAGACTTCTTTTTTTCAACTTAAGCAGCCTGTGAATACCTGGTACTTTGCAAGTGACAGAGGAAAGGACACTTTTGGACTCTCGTAGGCTATGGGATCAGATTGGTTTGGGTTTGAATCTTACTTCTGCCACAAACAAACTCTGAGTTCTTGGACATATCACTTAACTGACTGAAGAGTCACTTAAGGGTTGTCATGAGGATGAAATAAATTAATATCTCTGAAATATTTAGCAGAGTGCCTAGTACAGAGTAAATACTGAATAAACTAGCTATTAGACCAGGGGTTACTATTATCATTATAAGAGATATATTTAAAAAGTAAAATAGAAAAAGAAACAAGAACAATGCTTTTCTAAAACTGTAATGCTAAGAAAATTGTGCATGACAAATTTGTGACAGCATTTTCTTTTGTGTCTTAAAAAGTTGGCCTGACATTTATGTGAAACAACAGAAACAAACTATTGGTTCTGCTTTTGTTGTGCTTCCAAGAATTTACAGACAGCCTCGTAATCTGGTGTAAGGAAATGGCTTACACTATAAACTGATTTTATTTCCTTATAATTTTCCATCCTCAAGTTCTCTTGTACACCTGGGATTTTTGGCTGCAAAGACAAGTCATATAAAAAGCTCCAGACATGTAGTAACTGGGTTGCAGATGTACTGGAAGGGGAAATCTTAGGTAAGTAAAAAGAAAACCATTCAGTTTTGTAATTAAAACCATTCCTGCTGAAAGGGTTCCTCAGCTGCAGGGAGCTTGGCAGGGTTTTGTCAGGATCTGAAGAGCCCAGCTTGTTTTCATGCCTGGCTTTTAGAGGATCCAAATCACAGAACCCTCCAAATCACTGAAATGAGATGTTTAAGCTCAAACAGATCATTCATATAATTTCTTTCAGGTTGTTTGAGCTAAAAAGAGGAAACAACCAATACAATTTTCTAATTACCAGCAAATCAATCACCAACCTGATTGTAATTTACCTGAACAACTTTCATATTTTTCTCTTCTTTGAGTTGAGAAGATACTGGCAAGGCCTTGGAAAGCTGCATTTGGAGTAAGAGCAGAAGTGGAAGCATCTTCGGACTGGACATGGCCCTTCTCCAAACTCGACCTCCCTTGCCTTCCTCTCTGCCCCTCTGCAAAGTGCCCTTCCCCTGCTGGGTGCCCAGATGTTCACAGCATCATGTATATGTCCCTCACTGCTCTCTTTTGGTCCCTTATAAAGCTGTATCTTAAACAATTGCCACACCAGAAACATGAAGAAACATGGTCAATTACACTGTGACAATTTTGCAATATTGTAATGTGATTTTGTGCCCTCCACAAAGGAGGAGTCTTTCAACAGAAAACAGTGCAATTTGATACTCTTTACTTTTGGGGTTTTTAGTTAGATATTTTCTTTTGTAAAATTGTCTAGTCAAGGAAAAGGAATAGGAGACTAATCGTGAAGTTATGAACAGCAGTTGTCTGTGGTTTATACTTGCTGGGTATGTAAGATGCTGAGGCTGTGTTAATTTATGCAGGAGAATACTGTTAGATAAGCAGATAGTGTCTTGGGACCAAGGAGCCCAGTTTGAGAACCTCTGCACTTACTACTTTTGCTGTGTGCCAGGAGATTTGTATGGGGGTCTTGGAGCAGCTTCCGGAGGATGTGGTTTTGGCATCAGTGTTTTAGAAAACCACAACCTGCAAGCTGGATTTTCCACAGGAAAGTCAAAGAAAGCAACACTGATGATAATAATAATCAACATTTGCTGGATAGTTATGATGTCCCAGACATATATCCTCTACCTATATCACTTCAAGTCATTCTCACACAACCTTGGGAGGTAGATGCTATTATTATCTGTATTTTGCACAGGAACTCAAATCCAGAGAAGTGAGGTGACTTGTACAAGTCATATGCCAAGACTCTGGAGGAACCAGGATTCAATCCCAGGTGGAATGTTTAGGGAGGCTAACTGCAGCCAGTATATCAGGCTGATCTCTAGTCTCCACTGGAATGCCTGGCTCGTCCAATTTTTCACTAGAAAATAACAAACAAGCAAACAAATTAAAAAACATTATTTCCATAAGTTTCAAAGCAAATAGGAAGATAGAGAACATTTAGTTTCAGCCCTGGCCCAGTGGCTTCATTGGTTGGAGCATCGTCTCATACACCAAAAAGTTGTGGGTTCAATTCCTAGTCATGGCACATACCTAGGCTGCAAGTTCAGTCCCCAGTTGGGGCAAGTGAGGCAATCAATCAATGTCTCTCTCTCTCTAAAAAAAATAAATAAAAATATATCCTTGGGTGATGATTTAAAAAAATTTAGTTTTGAACAGAGACAATACAATGCAAAATAATGAGGTATCATTCTGTCTCATTAATGTCATCCCTAATTGGCTAGTCCATAGCAGATATAGAAAATTGTATTTTTATGGTTCAGTTTTGATTTTTAGGTCTAAAAGGATAAACTAATTGCATAGGTATAGTCTGTTTTCTTTGTAGTTAAAAAACAAGGGCCCAGCCAGCTGGGATGGGCAAAGGTAGCTGGGAAAGCTGCCTGGAGGTGTTCATGTGCCCAAATCTTAAAGGATGAATAGATTCCCAATGGGATAGAGAATGTGATCCCATAGAGGAACTAGTGTGCACTAAGTGCAGAAGTATGCCCAGTGAAGCATATGGTGACTTTGATTCATACATATAAGCCAAGGCAGAGTGTCCTTTGCATCAGGCATTTAAAAAAAAATTTCTCACCCTAAGGTATTTTTTCATTTATCTCCAGATAGCGTGGGAGAGAGAGAGAGAGAGAGAGAGAGAGAGAGAGAGAGAGAGAGAGAGAGAGAAGCTGGGGGAGAGAAACATGGATGTGAGAGAGACATATTGATTGGCTGCTACCTGCATAACCCTGACCAGGGCCAGGTTCGACCACAACCGAGGTACATGCTATTGACCGGAATCAAACCTGCAACTCTTTGGTCTATGGGCCATCGCTCTAACCGCTGAGACAAACTGGCCAGGGCAGCATTATTGAACTTTGATGATCAGGATGGATGTCTACGCACTTTGATCAAGGTACTAGGAAATTGCTGGGGTCAGTTACAGTGAAGGGTAAAGACTATTGGACTTGAAATTATACTACTGGGTTCAAATTGTAGTTCTGGAGCTTCCTCTTTACGCAACTTTCAGCAAATCATTTCAATTCTTCTGAGCCTCAACTTGCACATCTATTATTCTGGTACATTTACATCTTCCTCGTACAGCATAGAGAAGATTAGATAGTATATGGAAAAGCTCTATGTAAACCCTCCAGTGTGATGTTCTCTTTGCATTGTGAATGTGGTGAAGTTATGATCTTGCTAGTTCATGTGTCCATTCTGTGAATTAAGTTAGCAGTGTTGAAAAGGTCCTCTTTTCCAGAAGGAGAAGTGCTTCAAAGTTAAGCCACAGAGTAATGAAGTAATTCTTATACAGTTTCCTTCAGCATCCAGTGTGCAGTGCAGACAGGGAACAATATGCATGTAACTTATATACCCTATCAAATAAGGAAAGCATGCATATTAATTGCCTGCACTCTGTAGCTGTCTTAGATGTTCACTATCTACTATCTCCTTTAAACTTCAAAAGAACCCAAGGAAGTAGGGTTTATTATCCCTATGTTGAAGATAAGGACATTGAAGTTAGAGATCTGATTCAAACTTACTTTTCCAGTTATTCTTCCTAGAACCCTCTTTGTTCTCTCAGCAGAAAAAATTCAAAATAAGGCAATGGTTCTCAATCTCAGTTCTACATCAAAATATGTGCTAAAAATACAGAAATGGGCTTCATTTCTCCTACTGAGTCAGCATATCTGGAGTAGGCCTCAGGCATATACAATTTAATTTTAATTTTATTTTGTTAATTAATTTTTGTTACAGATGTTTCTCCTTTTCCCACATAGACACCTTCCTCCTGTTCCCGCCCCCCGCCCCCGCAACCCAGCATTGTTGTCTATATCTATTGTCTATATGTCTATTGTTGTGCATGAACTTACATGCATATAAGTTCTTTGGTTTATCTCTTCCCTCGCCCCTACCCCTTCCTCTGAAGTTTGTCAATCTGAACTGTACTCCTTTCTATGTCTCTGGGTCTATTTAGTTCATCAACGTCTTTTGTTTATTATATTCTAGAAATAAGTGAGATCATGTGGTATTTGTCTTTCTCTGATTGGCTTATTCCACTGAGCATAATATTCTGCAGGTCCCTCCATGTCATCTCAAAGGATAAGAGATCTCTCTTTCTTTCAGCTGCATAGTACTCCATTGTGTATATGTACTATTGCCTTTTTATCCACTCATTTATTGATGGACAATTGGGTTGTTTCCATATCTTAGCAATTGTAAACAGTGCTGCTATGAACATAGGGGTACATATATTTTTTTGAATTGGTGTTTTAGGCTTCTTAAGATATATTCCTAGAAGTGGGTTCAGTGGGTCAAATGGCAGTTCAATTTTTAATTTTTTGAGGAAACACCATATTGTTTTCAATAGTGGCTGCACCAGTCTGCATTCCCACCAGCAGTGTACTGTAGTCGCCTTTTTTCCACACCCTCACCAGCACTTGTTGTTTGATGATTTGTTGATGGCAGCCATTCTGGTAGGCCTGAGGTGATACCTTATACTCATTTTAATTTGCATCTCTCTGATGGTTAGTGATGTTGAGCATTTTTTTTTATGTCTCTTGGCCACTTATATTTCCTGTTTGGAGAGGTGTCTATTTAGATTCTGTGCCCATTTTTAAAATTGCATTCTTTGTCTTCCTTTTGTTGAGTTGTATGAGTACTCTATATATTTTGGAGATTAAGCCTTATCTGATGTATTATTAGCAACTATGCTCTCCTATGTAGTGGGTTCCCTTTCCATTTTGATGATTATTTCTTTTGCTGTGCAGAAGCTTTTGAGTTTGATGTAGTCCCATGTGTTCATTTTCTCCTTTGTTTCTGTTGCTTTAGGTGATGTATCAGTGAAAATTCTATTGTATATGATGTCTGAAATTTTGTTGCCTACATTTTCTTCTAGAGTTTTTATGGATTCATGAGTCACATTTAAGTCTTTTAATTATTTTGAGTTTATTCTTGTGTATGGTGTAATTTGATGGGCCAGCTTCATTTTTTTTGCAAGTAGCTGTCCAATTTTCCTAACACCATTTATTTTTTATTAATTAATTAATTTATTTTTGTTACAGATGTTTCTCCTTTTCCCCCCACTGATTACTCCCTCCCCCACCCTCCTCGCCCTGTCCCCAGTTTTGTTGTCAATGTCCATTGTTCATGCATACATACATATAAGTTCTGTGGTTTATCTCTCCCCCACCACCTTCTCTTCTGGGGATTGTCAGTCTGTACCTCGCTTCCACGTCTCTGGGACTATCCCATTCCTCAGACTGTTATGTTCATTATATTCTACAAATAAGTGAGATCATATGATATTTGTCTTCTGTCTGGCTTGTTTTGCTTAGGATAATACTTTCCAGGTCCCTGCATCTTGTCTCAAAGGATAAGAGATCTTTCTTTCTTACGGCTGCATAGTACTCCATTGTGTATATGTACCACAGCCTTTTTATCCATTTGTCTTCTGATGGACATTTGGGCTGTTTCCAGATCTTAGCTATTGTAAATAGTGCTGCTATAAATATAGGGGTACATATATTCTTTCTGATTGGTGTTTCAGGCTTCTTAGGATATATTCCTAGAAGTGGGATCAGTGGGTCAAATGGCAGTTCAATTTTCAAGTTTTTGAGGTAACACCATATTGTTTTCCACAGTGGCTGCACCAGTCTGTATTCCCATCAGCAGTGTACTAGACTCCTCTTTTCTCCACACCCTCGCCAACACTTGTTTGATGATTTGTTGATGGCAGCCATTCTGACAGGTGTGAAGTGAGACCTCATTGTTGCTTTAATTTGCATTTCTCTGATGATTAGTGATGTTGAGCATTTCTTCATATATCTCTTGGCCATTTGTATGTCCTGTTTGGAGAGGTGTCTATTCAGTTCCTCTGCCCATTTTTTAATTGGTTTCTTTGTTTTCCTTTTGTTGAGTTGTATGAGCACTCTTTCTCTCTCTCTCTCTATATATATATGTGTGTGTGTGTGTGTGTGTGTGTATATATATATATATATATATATATATATATATATAATCCTCACCCGAGGACATT